TAAAATTTGATTGGTCAATCATGTGAGAGGCGATAAATTAGTGACATCGCGGGGTGCGGTGAATAAATATACCCTTATAATAATTACTATTATTATTCTTATTATTAATTTTTTGCATAATTAAAATATTCGATGCTAAGTTATTGTTTTTGTACTTAAAGGTACTGGGAAGGAAGACGTCTATGGTCAACAATGCTACTTGCAATCCGAAATCTATCCCGATTTGTTTGGGTAAATGTTCCAAATATGAATAAAAATGAAATAGACTCCGAAAAATTTGCCATTCTTGATCTTTTGGCAGGATTCGCACTTGCTACCAAACATTATCTTCGAGAAGAAGATGGTACAGATGCTATAAAGGTCAGTTTAGATATGAGACCATTAGAGACTAAAGAAGGTGCAGATAGTAAATCTAGACTCAACAAAATTTTAAAGCTTCTCCTAACATATAGATCAAAGTCATCACCGGATAGAGGGCTGAACGAGCCTGAAAAGGTTGTTAATTATAATTTGCCACTTGAGATCACTTTGTACTTGAATCATTACATCAGTCAATTGAAAAGAAGGGTGAACGAAGACTTAAGACCAGATGATCCATCGATCACTCAAATGTACGCAAACGTAAGCATACTTGTAGACTGCTTAACAAACTTAGAGAGAGTTCTTAGATCTCCAATTCCTTTTGCATACGCAGTTCACCTTTCACAAACAACTTGCATATTTTGTTTGTCTCTTCCATTCCAATTAGTTGGAGACCTTGAATGGGTTACTGTGCCTATAGTATTTTTAGCTTCAGTCATCTTACTAGGAGTCGAAGAGATTGCAAATGAGATTGAAAATCCATTTGGTACAGATCCGAATGATTTAAAACTTGACCAATTCTGCGAACTTCTTGGTATGGAGTTAGACTTTGTTAGGTCACATAATAAAATAAAAAGTCAGTGGGAAGAAACAGCTAAGAGAGCAAAGACTTCAGAATTTAATGAATCGAATGAATTAGATATTAAAAAAGAATCTAAGGGGGAAATTTCTGTCGTAACGGAGAAGTAATTTCAAATTTATGAATGTATTAATGTATTAATACGCTATTATGTAACCAAGAAACTGTATTTAATATATGATAGTTTAACAATTGTATAACGCAGGCCAAAATTTTGTAGACCACGCAGTTAGCTAATTAAAATTGAGAATCTGCCGTGGCAAAATTGGTACTACAGCTAAGGTATTTTTATTGCAAGATAGCAAAAGGCTAGCATGCTTTATCTAACAATCGTGCAATTTTTTTGTCGATGATTTGCAAGAATACAGAATTTTGATAATAAATGATTACAGTTTGCAAAATGTACCCAATTTCAATAATTTTTTTTTATTTTAATTCTATTCTATAAACTTACAGAATTAAAATAAAAAAGACTTCATTGAATTTGAATCAACGCTCTTGAGAAATCTTCAAAGTTAAAAAAAAGAAAATTTACCGATTTTCGAATGAAGATTTCTCAACAACCATCTATAAACTTTGATAAAAATTTTTTTATCTTACTTTTACAAAAATTTTACTGGGGCTACTGTAATCAAGCAGCTACGAGAAATCTTCTCTAAAATCTTGAAAATTTTCAAAATTTCGTATGGACCGATCTAAATTTTCTGATTCTAGGTTTTAAACTCATCCCCAATAGGCCAAATGATCTACAAATTTGTTTTTGATTATTGTTTATAGCAAGTGACTCGAACTTTTTTTCGCCATTCTAATATTGTATTACGCATAACATATAAAAATATAATTATTTGTCACTTGTTTATATGTTTGATTAAGAAATTGATCAAGTACTGTAATTGATCGGCTATGGCTGACTAAAGCCGGCTAATAGCTATATAACATTAAGAATCTGTCAACATAGATATGATACTAAAACAAATGGTTATTATTGTTATTCAAACACAGCAAATCCGAGTGATGTTAAAGGATCAAGTATTGTTGATGTCTCTTATCAGAAATAGTGCATTCAGGACGTACAGTACATAATGATGGGTTATACTGGGAAGCTTGTCAACGAAGTGACAAAGCGATCATTATTGCGAGATCAGATGACTTTATGGGATCACATGTTCAATTTGTCATTTATGATTTTTGTGTACAGTGTTAACTTAGTTGGGAGAGCATCATGAAAGAATATTTAGATTAGGGATTGGAACCGTTTAACCGTTTAAAAATTGCTCTATAGTTCCGGGCAAAATTATGTTGGTCGTGAGCCAAAACTATTTCAATGCCGGCCAAACGGTTAAACAATTAAACGATTAAGAAAAATTTTAGGCGGTTCCAATCCCTAATTTAGATGGACAATTCATTTATAAGGACGATTTTATGAGAATTCTCTTTATTTAGGAGAAGAGTTCAAAGGGCATACGACTTCTACTCTAACATCGGGGGAACTAATATTTATAAACATGTGTAAGAGACATCGTATAATCGATCGTTCTCAATGGCAACAAAACAATCGTAATTACAATACTATAGAATCAATAAATAACTAAATCTAGTAATTAATCCATAGTATCGATTACCAATTTATCAATTTAGGAAACTTATACTAATGTTACGAATTGATAACAACGGTCTTATAGTATCTTGTTAGATTCTGGTTAGTATAGTAATTGCATACGTGTAAGGAAAGTATGGTTCTGAGTATGTAATCAGAACATATTTAAGGGCCTTTGGTTAGTAGAGGAGATCATCTTTATTTTATCGCTTGCATTGTAGTGAGGACTGGCTCTATCGTCCCACCCTCTCAGTGACTCGTAAACTAATTATATTGACACTTGTTTGGGAAACAATTGGTTGGTTGGTGCTAATAGGCTGGTAGTACAAGGATCTCACATTTGGTAATTAGGCTTCAGCTGCCGTAGGCAATACAAGAATTTCAGTTTGTGTTTGGGCTCCGTTGCTGCTGCGAGGACCTCATGTTTAGCGGCCAGGCACCGCGGCTGTTGTAGTAGTACAAGGACCTATGTCTTAGTTGCATTCACGTCACCAGATAATAATATATAACAAATTCTATGCTGGCCACGTTCTGGCTACGATTTGTTATAGTGGTTATAGAGATGTAATGGGTTATAAGATATGTGTTGTTTGTTTTGGTTATATATTCCTTAGGAGACATAGACATTTTAGCACATTTAATATAGAGCTTATAAAGTCTGTAAAGAATAGCAAACGGAATCCCTATATGTTCTTCGTGTAAATAAAGTCATTCGATCAAGCAATAATAAAATAACAAGACAAATCTTTTTTTTTTATGCTTTTAAAACGTTTTTTTTGTGTTTTTACTTTTTATATTTTTTTTTATATTTTTGTTTTTTTATAGAATTTACAGTCGTACCTGGGTTATATCTAAAACTGAGGAAAAACAAGTGGCTATATAACACAGGTATGACTGTATAAAATGATAATTTATATAAAAAATTGTCCTTGAATCATTTTAAAGCCAAAAAAAAAATTTTTTTACAATTGTATTTATAGATATATCCCAACAACTACATTATTAATAATCTGACCATCATAAAATTTTAATTCTTTAAGCTTTTTTTATTGTACTCTTCCCAGAATCTTTTTAAATATTCTCTGAATTCGTTTGTTCCTACGAGAACATCCGAACTAAAATTGGTATCGTATAATTCATTCAACTTATTAGACCATTCAACTTTATATGTTTTATTTTTGAGTAATACACTTTTTTCTATTGTAGATACTGGTGTTTTAGCACTAGTATCAATGTTTTCAATAGGCTGCAATGTATGTAAAGTCTGAATATCAAATAAAATTGCTAAGTAATATTCAAACAATGTTTTAAGTATATCCTCATGTGTCGCTTGATAAATAATTGGCAGATGCGAAGGTTTAAAGAAATTTCTAGCATTGCAATAAATTTTAAAAACTTCACATTCATTTTTAAATTTTTCTTGCATTAATCCAGTTGGAACTTGATTATTTAGAGTTTGCTTATAATAGATATCTATGCTTACTCTAGTATTTAAAATATCATCGAAACACCTTTCAGTAATTTTAGCATTTTCTCCAAACCTTCTTAAACACCAATTATAATACATTGTTGAGAATTCTAATGGTTTGAATGGGGAATCATCGTTATCCAGATTTCCATTGTTTGATCTATTTATAAGAAGAAAATCCATTGCTCTTAAAAATTTTGACTCCTTATCACCATCAATTGCCCGATATAAAAATTCAAAGACTTCAATTCCTTTTAATCTTCTATTTGGTTTTAAAGCTTCAATCAAACACTTGGATAAAAGGTTTTCTTTTGTATCATTTCTAGCTTGTATAAATGCATCAATTATTGTATTTCCAATAGCAGATAATCTTTGCTCGAAAAGTTGCATAATATCTCCAATGATAATATAACTTAATTCAAATCCAATATCTATTAACTCCTCAAGACGTTCTGTAACTTCTTTAATAGTTGGTTGAGCCCAATCATCCGGCGGAGTTGGTGGATACAAAATCAAAACAGCTCCTTGCATTACTAGATCATTGACATCTTTACAAATTCCATGGTAACCAATTAGTTTCCAGTATATAACCAAGTCTTTACAAATTAATATGGCTCTAGCAATAATATTTAGCTGTCTATTATTTTCAAATCCATCCTTAGCTGGATATTCCTCTACAGTTGTGTTAGTTTGTGCTTGTAAGTGTTTTGGTCGTGGTGGGAATGGAATGAACTTTTTTTCCAATATTAATTCCCTGATTTGACCTTTATTTTTATCCAAGATCTCTCTGGCATCATTAATAACATGTGGTCCAGCGGATAAAAAATGAAATAATTCCATATCATTTCCTTTTTTAGAAAGTTCTATGGGTTTAAATTGTCTATCCGCTTCTTCTAACAAATAAATAAAAACTGAAATTTCTAGATCACTGGCCCATGGTGTCCTTGCATTTTGTTGCTGAGTAATTCTTACATTAGTTATATTTTGTTGCTGAGTAATTCTTACATTAGTTATACTTTGTTGCTGAGTAATTCTTACATTAGTTATATTTTGATTATTTGCATTGTGTTCTATTTTCAATGTTTCAAGTTGTTGATCCAATTTCCCAAAATGCAAAAGCAACCTTTGTATAAAGTAGGAAGAAATAATAGCTCCGTTGGTAATTATGGCTTTAACAACAGATAAATTAATAAAATTCGGACCCAATCTAATTGCATAAAAGAGTGCATGAGCATGACCATATTGATAAACTATCCACTCAGCTCTCACCATATGATCACTTGATATATTATACCAACTTTTGCAAGTCAAGATTAGATTTAAAGGAAATTTTACAAATTTAAAAATATTTATTAAAATTTCATCTGATAAACCGAGTTGCATAAAATTACTAATTGGCCTGTCAATATTTCCATTTTGGTTTTTATATTCACTTATTTTTTCTTTTTCTAAACGTGCATCTTCATTATTCGGTTCAATTTTAAGAGCTTCTTCTATATCATGTAAAGCATTATCAAAATTTTTGTGGATATTATATATCTTGCTTCTATATATATAAGCGAGAGGTTTAGATGGTTTCAACTTAATTGCCGTTGTCAAGTCATTTATAGCTTTTAAATACATGCTAAGATTCAGAAACGCAATTGCTCTTCTGCACTGAACTGAATAGCTTTTTGGATAAAAATGCAAAACTCGAGTAAACCACACAATTCCTATAGAATATTCTGATTGTTTCTCAGCTGTTTCAGCTTTTTCAAATGCAAATAACATGCTTTTAGTATAAACCTTTTTAGACAGTTTTGGACCTCTAGGAATTTCTTCAGAAATTTTAAAATAAGAATTAGTTTCTGTAGAATAAACATATCCTGATTGTTCAATAAATTTACAAAGTCCTTTAAGTATTGCATTTTGCGAAAGGTTACATATAGATTCAGAATCAATAGCAGCATTACAAAATGGGCATTTAAAATATTGAGTTTTAAACTGATGGCTAATAGAGTGACCACATATTAAAATAAAAAAATCTCCGGTTATTTTTCTTGTAACTGGACACGATAGTCTATCAATAACTATTTCTGTTAATAGTTTAAAACTTTTTTCTGTAGTAAATTTCTGAATAAAATTTTTTTCATTCTTTGCCAAATTTAAGTTCTTGAGGAACTTATCTTCTAGTTCAAGTTTTCGAGTAACACAATAAATAATGTCCTTAAATTCTTGAGAATCACTCAATGTATTATTAAAATTTTTAATCTCATCCTGTACTATTTCTTTAAACAAACCAGGCTCTTTGAAAGACAACGATAAAAGTAGTTCGACAGATTTAAACTGGATGTAAGTACAATTTGATTTTTGTAATGCTTCTATGCCTAAGAAATATGAATATGCCAATGTAACTATATGCGTTGTTTTCTTGCATAAATTTTGTGCAAAATCTAGTAGACCAAACAATAAAGTATTAGGTGGTGCTGCTAGTAGCCCTTTTCCATTTAAAATATTAATGAATTCATCCTGGTCATTTAAAATTTTTGAAGCATCGAATTTTGCATTTATATTATGTTGAATACTCAGATAAGTATATTTCCAAATAATCTCAAAGAGATAATCGTCTTTGTAATATTGCAAAACTTTAAAAGCTTTATTATTTGTAAAATTCAATGAATAACTTAGCATTGAAAGTTCCTGCAATACTTTATTACAAGAATTGGCCTGGTCAAATTTTATAGATTCTTCTTTCCTTAATTTTTTAGAAATAGAATTGTTTTGCAAAAGCTTATCCAAAGTAATTTTGATATCGTGATTGTTAATCAACTTTACTGGTCTTGATATATCCCGTAAATGAATCAACAAAAAATTAATATTGTAATTTTTAAATTGCACATGAGTATTCTCAAATTCTTGCTTAATTATGTCATAATAAATCTCTGCAAACTCATACAAACTGCTGTTAAACTTATCTCGAAGTTCGTTGCCCAATGTAATATCAGAATAGATCACTACTTCGAAAATTGCCTTGCAGGTCTGCAGATGTAATTCCAAACGCACTATAGTACTTTCTTTATAAATCTTGAATAGAGAATAATTACAGAGTAATTCAAGTGCTTCAATTAATTTCTTATCAGATAACTTATAGTTTTCAACCAAAATCCTGAGATAAATCAAATTTTCGAGATTTTCTAAGCTCCCCAAGTAAGAATTTAGATCCTCAATTTTGTTATTTTTTTCGGGTGGAATGTGATTATGTAATGCCTCATTTTCTCTGTTCATAATTGTTCTAGAAAAAAAAGTATATAAGTAATTCATTAATTAATCGATTAGCTGACCAAGAATTTTTTTTAAAAAAAATCAATTAAAAAATCGATTATATTCAAATAATCCTAATTTAATCGACCAATTGACTAATCGATTAGTCAATTAATCGACTAATTGTCGATTATCAATTAATAGTCCAATAAAATTATCAATCCATTAGTTGCCAACTTAGTTTAGTCAATTAATTAATTAACTAACGTAGTTAATTGGAATAATTTTTTTAGCTGACTAAACTGATTCCAATTCTTAGATGAATAATGAAGTTATCAGTCCACTCCACGTAATCCACATCTCAAGTAAGCATTTATAAATATGATCTGGAAGATATCTTTCTGTTAAGTAACCTTTAAATTACTTTTGAAGTTCTTCGATTTTTAATAATTACAGTCATACCTGAGTTATATTCACACTGGGTTATATCCCAACCTGAGCTATATCCCATTTTTTAGCAGAATAAATTTCCTTTTTTTATATGGTTTGTATATTGAGTTATATCTCCAAAAACGCTCTGGAAAAAAGTGGTAATATAACTCAGTTATGACTGTATAAAACATCAGATTATTTAGTAACTTTTTTTACACTAGCTTTACCCTTTCTTGCACTCATATTAGTACAAAAAAAAAAGTTTAATTGTGTACAAGTAGGCATTCAAATTTGTACAAAAGAACATTCAATTTAGTACCAGTTCTACTCACTTCACTGACACATCTTTTACAGACACAACACTTGATAAACAATCAATTCACCGCCATGTTTATTTTGCAGGCAATCAATCACAAAAAAGTTTACATAATAGTTCTATCCTGGGTAGTTGGGTATAAGCAGAAATGAAAATTCCGCCTATACACATAGTACCCAGGGTATAACTGATTTATACCCTGCGGTCTTGATATGGGGTGCCAGTAGAAACCAAGCAAATTGTTTTTAGTGAGTTTTTTTA